ATACACACACGCAACACATACACACACATATACATATATAATTTCAGGTTGTAATAAGTGCTGTGAAGAAAAATAAAGCAAAAAGCCTGGCCAGTTGCCCAGCTGGTTAGAGCATGGTGTTATAACACCAAGGTCAAGGGTTCAGATCCCCGTACTGGCAAGCCACCAGAAAAAATTAAAAAAGCAAAAGAAGGTGTTAGAGAGTAGTTTGGCAGTTGGGGCTGTTATAATTAGGGGTGGTCAGGAAAGGCCTTACTAAGGCAATGGCATTTGAGCACAGATCTGAATGAAATTAGGAAATGGCACACAGTGGTTAATCAATATTCGTTGAATGTGCATGAATGCAAAGACCTGGGAGAAAAGCATCCCAGGGAGAGGTGATGACAAGTGTCACGGCCCTGTGGCAGAAAAAGTTGGCATGCTTTAAAAGCATCAGGAAGGCTCTGTGAATATTCATGCTGAGTGTGTAGGGGTGAAGTGTACTGATGTCTACAACTTACTTTAAAATTCATTAAAAAATAAGATGGGTGGATGGATCAAGAGATGGACAGATATGTGATAAAGCTAGTATAGTAGAATGTTAATAGAATTTAGGTGGCAAGGTGGTAGGTATATGCATGTTCACTGTAAAGTTCTTTCAACTTTGTATTTGAAAAATGTCATAATACGATGTTGGAGGAGGAATGTCAGAAGGCTAGTGAGGCAGGAGCAGACAAGCAAGGGAGGGAGCAGGAGAGGAGGGCTCAGAGGTCTCCTAGCCCAGAGCCTGGGGGGCCTCATGAGCCATGGGGGGACATTGGGGTTTTGTTCTCAGCACAACAGAAGCCTTCAGAGGGGTTTGAGCAAGGGAGTTTCATGGTCTGATTTACGATTTTAAAACATCCTCTTGCTTCTGTAGTAGCAATGGCTCTACCCCAGCACATGTGGAAGTAAAGAGCCAGGTAAAGGGAAAACTGTGGTCTGGACCAGAGTGTCAGTGGGGATTAGGGCTGGGGGTGCAGTGAGACGTGATCAGACGTGGTCAGATTCAGGGGAAAGTTTGAAGGAGCTGCGGACATATTCCACGTCCGGTGCTCAGAGCCATGCCAGGGCTCTGGCCTGCGTGAGTGGGTAAACAGTGGTTGTTTCTTGAGATGGGGGGGGGGGGACAAGGGAATTAAGTAAGTTTGGGTAACAGAGTGTAGGAGAGCGGTGAGGGGGAGAGTCACATATTCTGTTTCAGGCACGAGAAATCCAAATAACAGACTTGCAAATAAATGGTAGCTATTATTGCTGTCTCCAACACACACACTTACATAACGACATCTGCAAACACACGTGCTGCTGTTGTGCTCCCCTTACATTTCCTTACATTTGCCACTTCTGCCCCTCCCTTTCAACTCCAGGCCACTGTCCAGTGACTGCTAGAGGCTCTGGGGATGGGAAGGGCAGAAGGAAGCAGCCCGAGGCAGCCCCTCCGTGCCCCTCTGAGCATCAGCAAACCTTTGTTTGGGTCAGTGCCTTTCTCAGCGTGGTGAATCCAGATCAAAGGAAGTCCCTGGGGTGAACCCCCAGAACACACACCCATCTGGGCTCAGCCACTGGTCTTGCAAACCCTCTGGCCTCCCTGTCTCTTGTAGCTAGGCAGGTAGATGGGTTACCAGGCAGTCCCAGCACACAGCTGGGGATGAGATTCAAGGATGCAGCAGAGATTAGGACCAAAATCTCCTTATTTTACTGAGAAGGCGACTTGGAGTCAAGATCTGATTTCATCTGAGCCACTTAACTGTACTGTCATTTTCTTCCTGCCTCCTCCACCCTTCCCATCACCCATGTCAGAATAGCATTTAAAGACATTTGTCAGGGAGCCAGCTGGAGAGGCCTGCTCCCTGCTAGAGGCTGTCTCAGTCACTGGGGACTGGAGGCATACCAAAGCCACCGCATCTCACGGGGCCACAGGCACAGTCATCTTGAGCCTGTAGCTTACAGAGGGGGGGCCTTGGCGTGTGTGTGGTGGGTGGTGATAGGGGAGACAAATGAGAGAGTTTCCTCCCTCCCTCTGCTCTTTGATTTTCCATGCCATCTGTGGCTGTTAGAAGTGCACCAGCCTCTGGTAATAACAGCAACAGCAAGGGCATAAACCTTATGTAGAGTAAGCGTGCTGGACACTGTTGCAAGCACTACCTGTGTATTAACTCATTTCCTTCTAATAACCCTGTAAGGTAGGTGCTATTATTATCATTTCTATTTTATAGGTGAGGAAACTGAGGCTAAAAGAGGAGAACCAACGTGTCCGAAGTCTCATAGCTTAAAAGCAAGAAAGCCAGGTGTTCTTATCTTCAGTACATGATGGACAGGTAGACGGATAGATGAGTAGAGATAAGCTCATCCACTATGAACAGAGCAGTAGAGCCTGAAGGAAGCTCCGACCAGGGCAGCTGTCTGCAGGCTAGAGAAAGCTGGGGTTGCGTCTGTTACTCTATTTAATTCTATTAGAATTAAAAAAAAAATTATAGTGTTAAACATCTTTGTGCTTGCTTTAAAATATAAATACATTAACACCTATACACAATCAGTTTTCTACCAAGTATGAACACCTCTTAGGGCACAAACTGTGGCACAGATTTAAAAAATGGTAGACACAATACCCCTGCTCCCCAAAAATCTCTTCCACAGATATCACTAGCTGTATGGTCTTAGGCAAACCTCTTAAACTCTCTGCAGCTTAGATTTCTTCTTTGGACCTACCCTGTAGGCTAAATTCATGAATTTGTCTTCACAGTCATGATAGCTGCTGTCAACTGAATATGTAATATATTTCTGTACTATGCTGTGCACTTTCATGCTTTATCTTTTAACCCTCCTAACACCCCTTACAGACAAGGCAGCTGAGGTGTGCAGAGGGTGTGTAAGCTGCCTGAGGGCACATGGACAGGAGGTGACAGAGCTGGTCAGTAGGAGAGTCTCAAGGACAAATGCCATATGCTCATTGCTTACCCCAGTCAGGGCTGTCCTCGACCAGAGAAGAGTAAGTGTTTGATGTGTAAATGTTCGTGTACAAACAGCTTGAGCCTGAGCTGTGGTCCAGATAAGAATTCGTCCTCCCCTGAGGTTAAGTCCATGGATGAGTGTGTTAGTCTTCCAGGGCTGCCGTAACAAAATGCCACACAGTGGGCAGCTTAAACAACAGCAACTGGTGTTCTCATATTTGTGGAGAGTAAAAGTCCAAGTTCAAGGTGCCATCAAAGCTGGTTTCTGGTAAGGCCTCTCTTCTTGACTTGCAGACAGCTGCCTTCTGGCTGTGTCCTCACGTGGGCCTTTCCTCTGTGCATGTGTGGAGAGAAAGAGAGAGTTCTCTGGTGTTTCTTCCTCTTCTAATAAGGACACCAGCCCTATTGGATTAGGAACCTACCCGTATAACCTCATTTAACATTAATTACCTCAATTACCTTAATTAAAGGCTCTGTCTCCAAATACAGTTACATTGGGTGTTAGGGCCTCAACATAGGAATTTGGGGGCAGACACAATTCAGTCCATAGCAATGAGCTTTGAGGAATCAGGGAACCCTTAAAAATTGTCTACCACATGGTGTATGTGGACCCCACCAGATGGGGGTCCACATACACCATCTGTTGACCTCCCCAAAGCCTAAGAACCACTACATGTATTGTAAATGGACAAAGAGGGAAAGAGCTTATGGCAAAATAGAAACAGAACTTGTGTTGAGGCATAGAAGAAAAAGAAATTTCTTTGAAAATTGTTTTAATAAGTGCTAAAAGGCATTTATTATTTTAAGAGGGGCAGTGGCAAATCGGGATCTGGGGTGTCAGCTCCCACTCACATTTGGAGAAGTCAGGTGGCTCGCCTGAGGTCTGAGCCTGGCACTCCGGCAGCCCGAGCCCCTGCCATGTGTGTCCCCCAGGCGTGCTGTCTGTCCTTCCCCACAGAAGTCAAGGCCATGTGGGTGAGCCTCCTGAGCCGCCTCTCTGCTGAACTCATGGACGCTCTTGCCCTTGCTTTCCTTCCAGAAGTGGAGCAGATCGAAGCCATCGCCAAGTTTGACTACGTGGGGCGGTCCCCGCGTGAGCTGTCCTTCAAGAAGGGGGCCTCCCTGCTCCTGTACCACCGCGCCTCGGAGGATTGGTGGGAGGGCCGGCACAACGGCGTGGATGGGCTCATCCCGCATCAGTACATAGTTGTTCAGGACATGTGAGTGGGAGTCGGGTCTTCTGTGAAGAATGCTGCAGTAGATTAGTGATGTCTGGAATGGGCACAGGAAAGGGAATGCTGGGTTGTGTGCCAGTGATTTGCTCTCCCTGATACAATACATTCGGTCTTCTGTAAGAATGGGCTATGTCCAACTTCCCTTTAATAGTGATCCACTTAAATATGCAGACTGCTCATCTTTCAGAGTGCACAGAGACAGCGTCCAGTGTCCCAGGCCCACCATCCTGATCCATTTGACGGCCTCCAGGGCATTTGTCACCCAGTGTCTAGTGGATCTTGCCATGTACCTCCACCATCCTGGGTCGTCCCTGCAGCTGGTGGCCAGCTCACCACCTCCTGAACTGCCCACCGTTCTCCACCCCAGAGGTGGTTCTTTCAGAGAATGGGCAGATACAAACATGCCCCATTTTGAGCTAATAGGACACTATTATTATTTTTGTACTCTCAGGGTTTTAAGAAAAAAAGCCCTCCATCCCAGAAAGCCCTACCAGAAAGATCGGAAAATCTACACTTTCCATTCCTTTGAAAGCCATTGAAGGATTCTGCACACACATTCCCTAGAGTTCTGGTCAGGCTCAGTGGGACTGATTTATCAGGGAAGCAGCCACCCACTAGATTTCATGGGAAGGCGACCAAAAGCCCACACTTTGATGGGTGATAGGAAGGTGCAAACTGCAGGAGGAATGCCACAGGTGAGGGCCCTCGGCAGCTGCCTGATGTCCCTGGGCCTCTGAGGGGAGGGACCAGTCGGTGGAAGAGAGAAAGCCATGGAGGGAGGCTGGCAGGACACCCTGACGAGCTTGTGAGCCACCTCACAGTTGTCCCAAGCCCTGGGTGGCAGGGGGGGGGATGAAGCACCTTCTCACCCCCTTGCTTAGCCCTAAATCTTTTCTCCTGGGGCCACACAGAGACTCAGCACTCAGTGCTCAGCTTACAGGCTCCATCCCCCATTTCTCCAACACCTTCAGCATTTAGCTTGTCCTAGTCCAGACAAGCCTGGGAGAGAAGACCAGCTAGAGGAGGGGAAGGAGGAGATAGGTGTGGGGCGGGGGGACAGAAGAGGGTCTGCTGCTGTGGGCACTGACCCCAGGAGTGTTGCAGCGGGCGCGCGTGGTAGGAAGGTGCCTTGTCCCCAGCTGTGGGCATGAATTAGCCATAAGGTGTGCATTGATTCAGCCCTGCAGACAGGTATAAAGAGCCTGTACATCTGTGTTCTCCGGAGGGAGACAGCTCCAATCCACATCTGTCTTCTCTGCAGGGATGATGCCTTCTCCGACAGCCTGAGCCAGAAGGCCGACAGCGAGGCCAGCAGTGGGCCACTGCTCGATGACAAGGCCTCCTCCAAAAACGACCTCCAGTCCCCCACAGAGCACATCTCGGATTACGGCTTTGGGGGGGTGATGGGCCGGTAGGAAATGCAGATTTGTTTTTTTCCTGCTAGTGCCATGCCTGTTCATGCCTGATTTGGGAGGAGCAAGAAGGCAGGGAAGAGGGATGGGGGCTGTGGCAGCCCCTTGTTCCTCTAGATGTGATATTGGGCACAACTGGGTGGGCTGGCTGGAACTGGCCCCGGAATGCCATGCATAAAATGATCTAGCTTGGAGTAGGGGAGTGGCGAAGGGAGGGGAAACACATGTTGGGAACTCGGTGCTTTTTATTTAAAATAATAATAGTAATAATAAATGAGAGAGAGAGAGATGCAAATTGGCAAGTATTTTTCCTACATCTCTCCAGTTCCTGCACCTCCTCCCAGCTTTGTGAAAGAGTTGAGTTGTTATATTTTAAAATTTAAAGCTCACACATTCCCTGAAATGTACTACATAAACAGAAAACTCATACCTACTCATATGGTGGGGAAATTGACACTCGACTCCACCCACTTATTTGGGGGGAGTGGATTTGCCGATTTCTTCCCTCCCCATGTGTGGGCTGGGCTGTCACATGACCTTCCCACCAGGCAAGGAGCCGCTCATGTCATTCTGAGAACAGGGACAGTACAAAGTGTGTGGTGTTTTAAAAAAAAAACAAATAAATAAGGAAAAGAGAAGAGGAAAAGAAAAGCCGACAGTTTCTCCCTGCTTTTAAAATCAGACTCTCAAAATGTCATATTCTATGTTTTTTCTAGTGGAGGGGTCATGTGATCAACCCACAGGTGGGGGTATTTGCAGATAGAGCCAAAGAAATCAGTCGCAATGGGAGCGCCCATGTATGGATTTATTTCAGCAGAAGTCCTGATGCTTCTTTTCAGCATGTTTTATCCAGCTCAGCAAATAGTTCAGAGCACTGATAGATGATAGGATTGGGACGGGGCGGGGAAGTGGCAGGCTGGGGCAGGTAGATGAAAAAAGTCATGGTGACTTCTAGGAGGATCATATCTTCTGCTTCTCTTTTCCTCTCCTTCCCTCCCTCATCTCCTTTCTTCTCTCTTTCTCAATACCTCTTCTCTCCAAACACCTATGCTTTGGCCCTGTTGGGGCAGGCGCTGCTTAGCTTGGCTGGTTGCACCAGGGTCTAAAGCACTGCTGATCACTTTGAACTTGGTCCTAGTCACAATCTGTTCCCAGCACACTGTCTCTCCCCTGCCGCCTCGCCACTTCCATTCTTCCCTCCCCTCACTAGGGCTTCAGCATCTTTAGGGACTTCTGTAGGATGCAGCAAAATCTCCTGTGTGTAGAACCTTTTATCTTTAAGGTGCTTTCAGACTCACTTGAAGGTGGGCCAGGGATAATACATCCATTTAACAGATGAATAAAATGGGTCTGAAAGAGGACACAGGAAAGCAGACATGGGGCAAGGGCTCGCCCTGCTGATACGTGCTCTGATCCCCTTTTCATTCCAGCAGAGCCTCCCCGAGGTGGGAAAGGTATACAAATGCACAAAAGGTGTATGCGATGATGTACTGTTTGCTCAAATGAATGGTTTTCCAAGATTTGGGAAAGCCTCATAGAAATAGCCCTCTGCTGGGGAGATGGAGGGTGGGTGACAACACTGGACTGTGTTCAGTTCCCGGGGGCCCTCCTGTGCTTGCAGGGTGCTGGTAACCTTTTGGTACAGTCAAGCCTCAATGCTTCAGACCAATTAGAAGCCCATTGAAATTATGGAAGTGCCCGAATTGCTTCACAACATATCGGGAGCTGAACTAACCATCACCAAAGCATTCCTAGATTGAAACCCTACTGGCCTTGACTTAACATGCAGACGAGATTCACTTTGTGATTAGCACCACTGTTGTCTGCAGTGCAAGCAACCTGCTCCACATTCCTCCGGTCGTGCAGATGAAGCCTCCCCTGCTGCCAAGTCATGTGCCGAGTTAGTCCTTTGACTGCAGAATGGTGGAGTCTGATCGAATGAGGCTTTACTATACCTACCCCTAGACTAGTGTGCAGTGTGTGCATGGGGGTTGGCTGGCCCATCCTGAGACTCGCTAGGGTTGACCTCTGCCCCATGCCCCCGTCCCCTGGCTCCTTTGCAGAGTGCGGTTACGATCCGATGGAGCAGCCATCCCCAGGCGCCGAAGTGGGGGAGACACACACAGCCCGCCCCGGGGCCTGGGCCCCAGCATAGACACGCCACCCCGGGCCGCCGCCTGCCCCAGCAGCCCCCACAAAATCCCCCTTACCCGGGGGAGGATCGAGAGTCCTGAGAAGCGGAGGATGGCAACGTTTGGGAGTGCTGGCAGCATCAACTACCCGGACAAGAAGGCGCTCTCTGAAGGGCACTCAATGAGGTCGACCAGCGGCTCCACCAGGCACAGCAGCCTCGGGGACCACAAGTCCCTGGAGGCTGAGGCCCTGGCAGAAGTAAGGGCCAGTGGGAAGGCAGGCTGGGCCAGCTGAGACCCCCAGAGGGGCAGCAGGGTGGGAACCTGCAGAAGGGGGAGCCAACTTGGCCTTTACGCTGGGCTCAAGACTAAGCCAGAAGACAAAATAGTGATCTGGCTTCCCTCCCCTTGCTGGGCCTCCCATGGGAGCAGAAGCTGATTGGGTACAACTACCTACTAGGGTTTCTGTAAAGGCTGAACATCCCCAATGTCCAGGGCTATGGGAATAGGGTAATGGCAGGTCTCTCCACAAGATGTCATGGTTAAGTCCATTCATTCATTCAGTCATTCATCTGTTCATTTACTGACGTGTTGATTGAGCATCCGTTGTGTGATAATCACAATGCTAGACACTGAAAATACAATGAAAACCTAAAGTGGACTGAGACGACCCTGCCCACATGGAGCTTTCAGTTTAGAGAAGAGAGAGATATCAACCAATATACACACA